TTCTGACACATTCCAACAGCCTAGCATAGACTTGATTGGCACAGCATATTTCCAACCATGCGTCTATCCTCCACATTTGAATTATTTTGGAACTGAATTGTGTAAACTTCTGCTTAAACAATCAAACAACTTAAGATCTTTAATGGTGTACTGAATTTCATCCAAGAATCCAAGGCAAGTTTTGGTTAAGTTTAACACAAAGCGCCATCTGCTTCTTTAGCAATATAGAGATTTCTTTGTGAAGAGCAGGAAGTGCGTGGGATGCGGAAGAGAGAGAAAAAATTGATCCAGTAATGGGAAGGAAGAAACATATCGCTTTTAGCCTGGGAGGATGTCATCAGCCACTTGAGCATCTTTCCTTCTGTGGTCTTTGGTGCTAAATCTTTTGATTCTAAAAATTATGTATGACTTATACTTTGTTTCACTATGCAAACTAATTTTGAAGTAATTTTAAATAGAACTTTAATCTCTTTATTTTCCATTTCATAGACATAAAAATGCAAAAATTAAAAAATGTAAATAGTCTACTAAAAACCTGAGCAAACCACTCTTGGTGACAAGCACATGTAACCCTCTACTCTTAATTGGCATTTGTCTTTCAAGTCCTCCTACGCAGTTATCGGATGATTGCTTTTCTGTCATTAGGGTAGAAAGTTCTCACTGTGACCCATACTGGGATATGAAAACAAGAAATCCAGGATTTCGGATCTCTAAGGCTTGCCATCCTATTTTTCTCAACAGGATGATGACTTCTCCAAGACAATTTCATATAGCTTTAACTGATATTAGAAAAAAAAGAGCTTTAGGAATAATACTTCTATCAACTTCCACACATTAAACTGTGTCAATATGATCATGAGTCAAGATGGTAAAGTAACCTACCTGCTCAGAAGGGACCAAGCACAATTGCTGAACTGACTTCATTATTGCATACTACATATGCTCAGGGGAATATTATACTGGGTTCCAATTTCTAAAAGTGTATAGAGCAAATTACCTTCCAGGCAGATTTTCCAGCTAATGGCAGTCATGTGAGGTGGTACCCTTATTACCCCCACTTACAGAAGAGGAAGCAGAGGGGCGTGAGAATATTAGACTCTTCCCAGAGACCTGCTCACCTTCATTCTGCTGTTCTTGCTCTGTGGCTTAAAAAGTAGATCATAACTGAAGTTGGAGTGGGTGGATGGAAGCAACTCTGGGATTTCCATCCTATGATCTTTTTGAAAGTATTCTTCATCTTGACTTTCTTCACCTCATTCATCAAACTTTAATGTAGAACTTTGGGAAGGTGGCTCGGTCAGGAAATTGCCTACCAGGTAAGCTTTAAGATCTGAGTTCAGGGTCCCAGAACCCACTTATAAAGGCAGCTTTGATGGTGCCCATCTGTAATGCCAGTGGAGTAAGGCAAGGATAACCTGTCTAGCCAATCAGTGATCACAGATTTAGTTGAAGATCAGGTGTGGAGCAATGGAGGAACATCCCCAACAACGACCTCTGACCCTCACAAGCACAGACAGGCATCTGTCCGCACATGAACACATCCATACACATTATGCCTATACACACACACACACACACACACACACAAATAGATTTTTAAAAATAAAAACCACTGCACGCTCATGAGGTGTACAATGAGCGGTATGATCTAGGCACAGTGTGGCCATTAACGTGTTACTTTTGTAACCAGTTAGTTAACAAAGTCGAAACTTGACAAGTTGCATTCTTTAGTACATCAGGCTTAGCTATCAGGGGAGTCCTGTCTGAATGCATAAAGGTTAAGAGATTTACTACACAATTCATCTTTGGTTTCACATTGGTTAGTTAACATTCACAAGCGATTTTTAAATTTTACTTATTTTTTAATTGACATACAAAATGACAGGTTTCTTGATAGCATTTTCATGCGTACCCAACAACGGTTGACACTTCTGTACCTCCAACCCAATTTCTCTTGTAAAAAGTCATCATCGTTGAGGTGGTGGATTGACCTAGGTGGAGTGACCCACCCAGCTATCACCCAGGCCCAAAATCGGTGATTCAAGTTAGCCCATCCCAACATGCACCCCATCTGTGAACTGTTGGAACATGCGAAGGGAACAAACCTACAGATTCAAAATAACAGGATCTTCATAACACAGGACAACAACAGGATAGTCAGGAGGAGCCCCAGTGAGAACCTATTATTGGTGGGGTAGTGTAGCAGAAGCCAGAACTTTGAGTGACTTGTGGCAACAAACTCTTGTAAGTAAAGATGAATGGACTAAAGGGTAGGTAAACTGTGTGACCCAACAGGTCACACTATAGCTCCCACAAAAAGATTCTTCTCTCTCTCTCTCATTTTTCTTTGTTTTTTATTTTGTTTCTGTTTCTATTTTGTTTTATTTCTTTGTTTTGTTTGGGTTTTGGCTTTCTTTTAAATTTAGTTTTGTTGTTTTAAGAAGGTTGCAAAGTCAGAAGGCAGATCCAAGGGGACATGGAGATGAGTGGGATTGGAATGCATAATGTGAGATCCACAAAGAATCAATAAAAGTTTAAAAAGTCATCATCTTTGGTGTCCAGCTTGTTTATTTCATTTAAGATCTGCTTCAGGTATTTAAAATGTTTAATGAGGTAAAAATGTCTTGAATTACATCGTATAATAAATGAAGGAGCTATAATCAAAGGTAGTTGCAGTATGCTCCTAGTGCCAGATGGGCCTCTGGCTCAGGAACTCTTGGCTGGTGTTTCTCTGTTTGCCTGCTAGTCTTCATACCACCCAAGAGGAATTCAGTAAGTTCATGATCACCTAGTGAAGGGATCAAGTGAAGTCCCAAATGAATGTGTATTGTTTGACACTTGCATGACCATGTCAAAGATCCCAATGCCCCAAACTCATGGGAGTGGCAAAACCTTCTTGTGATAAAGCCCAGAGAGACAACAAACCTCTCCTCTTTTCTGAGTGGGAATGTTGAGTGCAGAAAATGTCAGTGGTAGCTTTCTCCCAGCTGTCTGCCCAGATGTCAACATCCTGAAGACTACTCTCAGACAGAGATTTCTCCTACCAATATTAGCTAAATCTGCCTTCTTGTTTAGCTGTATATACTAGCCCTGTTGCCTTGTTTATCTCTACGCGATAACCCTGCCTCTCTGTTCTCTGAATAAAAAAAATGCACTAAGCTTTCCGGGTGCAGCAGCTTCTCCATCAGAGAGCACAGCCCACCGGATCCCAGCTTTTCTGTGTTTGCGTGTCTATACTACATTCCCTCATGACCTCCAATCTGGGCTGCCAGCATGCAAGGACATTGCAACCCAACTAGATGGATTCTGAGCTTTGCGTGCTCTGTGAAAAATGTTTTCAGGAGGGTATTTCAGTAAAATTGTTTGTCTTGGGCCTTGAGATTACCGTAATCTGGGATTTAGTGGAGATGAAGTCTTCAGGTTTCCCTTCCACGTGCTGTTCTCAAGATTTCCCAGAATCCAAATACTGTGATGTTATAGTCTGTGACATCTTTTAATGAGATTTCACTTATAATGCAAAAATTCATATTAGAACAGGTATACTTTTATTTCACACTGAAAATATTGTCCATACAATGTGCAACTATGGAAGGATAAAAATGAAGAACGAGGTGTGTAGTACTCAAACAGCAGCAGACTGGCTAGGCTGTTTGCCTCTCTCGGTTTCTGTTGCCTTTGACTGCTTGGGCTGGTAAGTTCTTGATGTCTTAGTTAAACTAATAGAATCTTTAAAGGATTTTTTAAAATAAACTTATTTACTAAACCTTTTTTTTTTTTTTTTGTAAAACTGATATTCTAGAACTGCCAGGGTAGGCCTTCTTGCCCCTGCCTGTCAGGTATCTCAGGCTTTGCTCCTCAGTGAGTGCGGGGAATTTTGTAACATCTCTGGAGCATCATACAAAGAAGAGAGGAAGTTGTGCAATTTTGCATAATTAGGAGAAAAAAAGTTACACTAGTTGGTGGTCCAGTTCCTGCAATGGTCCCCAGAGGCATCTGCTTTCATCTAGTAACTGACTGCCATGGTGGCGGCAGATGACTTTTAAACAGCTGTCCCAAGCTGAAAACAAAATGAAACAAAAAGCCACCCTCCCACACTGTGTCTAGGTAGCTTGCCAATCGCTGAAGTGAGTTCTCCTCAGAGGTCTGGGACAAGCAGACTTTAGGGCTTGTTTTTAAAATTCAACAGAAACTCCAAAAAACTCAGACAAGCTTCCCATAGGCTCGACTCCTTACAGTTTCTAAAGGGATAGTGGCAATTATTAGTTTCCAGAGGCATTTCAAATGTGTTGATTGCCTGAAGGAACTGGCTTTCAAAATATACATGAGTCTTGCAATTTTTCAAATTCAAGTGTCTGCTCTGTACCCTCTGAGGCACCATGCTGCCTGTGTGACTTCTGACACAGTTTGGGTGACTAAGTTGTAATTAATATTTAATAGAAAAAAATGAGAAGTAAAAATTGTGTCTTTTAGTTGTAATATCACTAATTCTCATGTTATTCTGAAAAATCGTGGAAATAATTACTAACTCCATTGTGCAAAATCTGGAGTAAATGGCATTCTGGGAAGAAAGGCCTTGGTGGCACTGGGCAGTTAGGCACTCCTGGACAGCTTGTCCCTACAGTGTGGCTAACTGAATTGTAAACATATTGATCTGACAGCTTTAACGGTTTATGCCTTGCATGTTGGAATACCCAAACTTCTTCTCCTTGTTACTGGACATTTCCCTCTGTCATCAGACTCTCCCTTAGCCAAAAGGCAGAGCCTTTGCTTACACCCAGGGCATTCCCTTTTTGCTGAAGTAGACAGAGACACACTTGGGGTCTATCTTCTCACGACTTAGCAGCACAGAAAATAAGACAGGAGGGGGGAAAACATGGCTTTTGATGGAAAATGCATTTAACATTTAACAAAAGGCTTTCTCTCGGAGGTTGGTAGACTTTTCTTCTCATGAAATACATCTGAGCCATGCATCCTTTGTATTTATGTATTTTGTCTTTTAGATTCCACGTCGACACCTCACCAATGAGAAACATGATGAGACGCTGGTGGCCATCTCCCGCCAATGTGAGGATTATGAAAGGTAACAGCAGCGATTTACTTCGAGGTTACATTCTTCCTATGGAGATACTCTGCTTCGGCCTTTCTGCTGTCAGTTATGATAAGGTTGATAAGACCTCTAAAATGAGAATCTACTGGACAGAATTGAATGGGGCAGCTAAGAGAAGAGGTGGTGGGTACAAACGAGAACGGTTTAAGTTCTTATTTTATTGTGTTCTTCATCACCATTGTCATCACTACAAAACAGTGGGGAGGGACAGGGATGGAGAGAGAGAGAGAGAGAGAGAGAGAGAGAGAGAGAGAGAGAGAGAGAACGCTGCATGCCAAGGTGTGTGTAGGGAGGTCAGAGGATAACTTTGAAGAGTCAGCTCCCCCTTGCACTGGGGGTCAGGGGTAAAATTCTAGCCATGCAGTTTGCACAGCACGTGTTTTTACCTGCTGAGCCATCGCTCCGACTCCTGCTGGACACAATCTGAGCACATTTTCTTTCATTGTTATTCAAGAGGCAAGAACCACAGTGGGTCATAGAAAATGTTTGATTTTTAAAGTATTTGGTAAAGTTCCATAAAGAAAATTCTGTGTTGGAAACGACTCCTTGATACTCATGTAGAATTTGCCTAAAGAAGCAATGCTTCCACTAATAAGGCGAAGAATTGTCTATTTCCATGGCCTGATTTGCTTACTCCTTAGTTCAGGTTCAGGGTGAGAAACCTGCTGCCTCCCTTCCTCAGCCACAGCCTTCATTCTATCTACCATTAAAGACTTTCCTCCCATCTCCTTCTAGTCCCTGACCCAGTGACTAATGCTCACTTCTCTTTTGACACCTTTTATGAGCAAGATGCTGTGCTAGCTACTTGCAGGAGGCAGAGACACACCCTCGCCCTCAGCTGCTTGCAAGCAAAAATTGAAAATCGATGTGCATAATTCATTCTAATATATGATTAAATATTTTGCCTCACAAAAGGGCACAAAGCTGGACGTAACGGTACACACCCACAGTCTGAGAACACAGGAGACAGAAGCAGGAGACTCTTCACAAGCTTGACACCAGCCTGGTCTACATAGAAAGAACTAGGCCAGGGCTAATAAGCAAGACCCTGTCTCAAAACATGACTAAGCAAAAACAAAATGAAAACGGGGAGGTCAGATGAACATACTGCTGTGAGAAGTCAGAGAAAGGCAAGCTTCTACATACACTTCAGAATAGAGATGGACAGAGATGGACATAGACGTGCAGGACGTGCAGTGGTAGGAAGTGGGGCAGGAGTGCCAGGGTCAGGAAACAGGCCATTTGGACATGTTCATCTTCATGTAATATAAATGGAAGGGAAGCTCAGATGAGGTCCTATGGGGAAGCCAAACAGGTAAGAATTTATTCTGTAGACCAACATTCTTTTGTTCAGGGAGACTACTTTTTGTAATACCTTTCTTTTAAACAAAACGTTGCACTGGATTTTTATCTATTATTGTATGTGTGTGGGAATCAGAGGCATTTTAAGGAGTCTCTTCTCTCATTTCCATCTTCTGTGGAGTCTAGAGTTTGAGCTAAGTTGTCTGACTTAGCACTAAGCACCTTTGCCTGTTGAGTCAGCTTGTCAGGCCTTTAATACCTTAAAGGTGAGAGAAAATTAAAAACTTATTAAAACTCAGATGCTTAACATAGGTTTTCCACTGGAGACATCTGTGGGGCGGGAGACATATTGTCAGATTCCGAGTTTGTGAATAAGCTTCTTCCAGTATGAGGATCATAGTTGTGGCGGAGGGGTTCTTGTTTAAAAGCGTGTCCAGGGAACTGATGGCAGGAGAGATGGCCAACAGCGTCTACAACTGATTAGTGAGAAGAGCGGTAGAGTTAATAAGCAGCGATGCTCACAGTACCCCACGTGTGTGCAGTCTCTGGCCCACTTGTGCTCTCCTGTCTTCAAGAGGCAATACACCTGCTGATATTTTACCATTAGATATTTATTTTATATAGGCTTTAATTACAGCATTTGGCTCACACAAAGGAGGTAATCCTAAAAACAAAAGCTTGCAATCAAATGAAGTTTTCGGCAACCTTAGTCGGTAACTTCCTTCTTTCAGAGAGGTACCCAATAGTTTGCACAGACATTTGCTGCTCATCAATTTTTGATGATCCTGGAGTCTTGTATATGTGTTTACAAACAGTGTGTGTCAATTAGTTATATACAAGTAAAACATATAAGACAGTTGTGTGCTTTGAATTTTTGTTACTATGCTTGTTTTTATTTTGAAAAGTATATCACAATAGTTCCCCATTCCTCTAAACTATTTGAATTCAGTGTCTTTCATAAGCACAATTAACTTCAATTACAAAAAACTTAGTATTTTGTTGTGAACTAGTTATCATTCTACAATAATGATGTGTGTGTCTTGCCTCCTCTGTAAGATTTTACCTACTTTAAGGGAAAGAATCACCACATAACAACAGACGAAAAATAAGTTTTAATGAAATATGGTATTATGTGCAGTAGACTGAGGATTAGTCACGTTAGAATCTCTGACATTAATAAAGAAAGAGTGGAATAGGAATTGGGGAGGCCACGCCTGTCCCAGCACTTGGGAGGTAGTGGCAGAAGGTTCAGGAGTTCAGGAGTTAAAGGGCAGTGGAACGAGTTTAAGATCAGCAGAGGCAAGAGGAGACACTGTTTCAAAAAATACAAACAACATGAAAGAATTATGTGGGACAAGAAGAGGTGAGAGAAAAAATGGAGATACCCAGAATCTGAAAAAAAAAAAAAGTACAAGCCATTCATGCCCTAACCGTTCTTTTTCTAATCTCTAGTCTCATCCTTTGGCTTTAAAAATAAAATGAATCATTTTTATGCGGCGTTAACTGACTTGCGATAGCCAGTCTCCGACCTACTGATAGCATGCTATTCAGCATAATGATGCCTGAAAACCACACAGCCTCCAACAGTTTGCATTGATTTCATACAGTGTCGAAAATTTTGTCCTTCTGAGAAAAAGTAAGAAAGGTAGGCCTATTTTAGATTATATCTAAAATGTACTGATGACTGACAGGTTAACCGGCGTGGTGGATGTGGCTAGAGGTTCAGAGAGAGGGAGGTGGGAGGCATACACTGCATTGATGTATGCCTGCGGGAAACCGGAAGCTGGAAGAAGTGAGATGAGAGCAAGCAAGGCAGAAAGTGGCACAGTTAGTGGATTAGTCTCCCTCCTTAGCTCTTCTGAACTAAGTCCTTTCTAACGGAAACATTTCCAGTCTGCAAGAGCAAAACTCAATGCTCTTGAAGTTTCAGGATTCATATGCTAAACTACCTTCTAAAGGAAAAGCAAAGACGAGGTGGAAGCACCCTTGCTGCTCTCTCTCTCTCTCTCTCTCTCTCTCTCTCTGTGTGTGTGTGTGTGTGTGTGTGTGTGTGTGTGTTGATTTTTGCTTTGTTATTTTTGAGACAGGCTTTCTTTGTGTAACAGCCCTTGCTGTCCTGGAGCTCACTTTATAGACCAGTCTGGCTTCATCCTCGCAGAGATTCGCTGTCTCTGCCTCTGGAGTGCTGGGATTGAAGGCATGTGCCACCATGCCTGGCTCACATCCTTAATTCTCAGTGTGAGGAATTACTAAAGTCAACACAGATTTTGACTGTGTTCTATGAGGAGCCTCACTCAGCCAGCCATGATGCTGCAGACAAGGCTTCATTTTAACTTTTGTAAAGCAGATGTTTTCCCCTGATTTTTGTTATAACATTTATTTTTAGTATTCTTAAATGAATTATGCATTCCAAAAATTACAGTTACGGCCTAGCAAGGAAACCATAATGATTCATCTTAGTCTAAAGCAGAGTTCATCTCAGAAGGAGGAGGTAAGAGGCAGGTCTTGTGAATTGCCTGGCATTGAACTCATGCACTGCCGCAGTCTTGGGCCCCCTAGTATACATAACCTAATGCCAGCTGTTCATGGAGCAAACCCTGCCTTCTGGCAGCAATATACTGCGCTCTTCCTTCTGCATATCCAAAGCATTCAAGTATCTTTTTGTAAAACATTGGTGTACTTTAAGAAAATTAAACAATAGGGTGTTTTTTCCCTCCATATGAATATCATACTCCCTTCCAGATGCAGTGTTTAGCGGCCAAACAGCTGCTATCTATTTAAAAAGTCTCTTAAAGCCCCATTTATTTGCTCATAAAGGGAAGAGAAGTGTAAGCACGTTTATGGGGTGACAGGCAGATGTTTGGGTTGGAGCAGGACAATGGTGGTGGTAATCAGAAACTAAAACGATCTCTTTTGTGACATTGTAAGCAAGTATTTTGGCCTCTTTTTTTAACCCCTTTCTCTCTTGGTTAAAAATGTATTACGAACTGGTAGAATAAAGGGGCTTTTAAGTAGGTATTTCCTCTATTGCAGAGAAGTCAAATCTGTTTTATGTAGAGGAAAACTCTCTTGAAGAACTGAATATATATATATATATATATATATATATATTTTCATGATACAAAGAATACGATACATCATAAATGTTTTACAAATTATACTACTTTATTTGCAGTAGAACTGTGTCAGTTTCCAGAAATTATATTTTTCCAAACCAACGAACAAACATCAATTACACTGGGTTTCTGACATCAGTGTAATTGAATTCTTTGTCTTTACAAACTAAGAAAGACATGTGTCAACCATGTGCTTATGTGTGATGTAACAAAGGAAATTCAGCTTTAGTTGGTGGAGAGATTCACAGAGAATTGACACACGGGGCTGACGGAGCCATGTGTTTTTTGTAGGACTCTGTAAATCTCATTGTAGCAATGCTTTCTGTGCACATCATCCATTTCTAAGGCCCCACGTGTATGGAAAGCCCGAGCAGCTACTAGTGATGTGCAGTGATGGGCCTTTGTATAGATTTTAATAATTCGTGCTCACTCAAACTGTGGACTCTGTGTGGCAATCACTTATAAAATTGTTCTGGTTATCCAGGAGGTATTTGGGGATGTTGTTGAGAAGTATAGACCTTTCCCAATAACAAACTCACTATGAACCTAGAAAGG